TAGTTACATTTATGTTTAGTTTTAGTTAGGTGCATAATTTTTGAGCTGAACTTCATTAGAAGTACATGACTTCGTGTCGCATCTCAAAGAGAGTATTTCAAAGCATAGATATATCTTGAATTTTCTTCAGGTGATCCATAGAGAAGCCTGAGTACCTAAGTATTTCTAATAACATTTTAGAGTGTACTGCCAAGTCAATAAAATCTTTTACTAGAACATATGAATTAGATTCTGATATTCCAGTGTTCCTTAAATAATAAAAACATATACACATACATGTGTATTGTAGAGATTTCAAGTTGGAGGGCAGAATGAAGAGATGACCAAATTTTCCCAGAAGTAGGAAAGAGACAATTTCCTTAACAGTTCCCCTAGATCACAGCCAAAGGGCATACATGTGAACACATTTATTTAATCCTGGTCTTGGGCCTAGGAGGTCTAGATTTCAAATCACCATTTCTTTGGCAATAGAGCAAGTCAACCATACCACCATTTGCAATTTGGCTGATGCTCATTCACAATAATATTCTTTTACCTTTGCTCTTCATATTATAAACCTTCTGTCTTTTTTAATGAAGAATGGCTTCACATACCAGTAAGGGAGCTCCTAATGAGCTGTAGTGATGAGCTTTTGGTAAAAAGAGACTATTTTCATTGCAACTGTGCATGAATGAGTGAAAATGAGGTTTAGGGATAATCATTAAGTATATATTTGAATAGAAAAATATATAAGGACATTAAAATATTAGATTTATGTGGGTGATTGTTTTCTATTAAATTTTTATTTTTCTCATATTTTATAAATTTTCCAGACTACTAAAAAGATGTTATTTTCAGTGTATTCTAAAATTTTTAATAAACAATATAATGTATCAAATTGGTCTCAAGCTTACCCTAAAGCTTTTTTAACATTTGTTCTGCATGTAAATTTAAAGCTATATTTCACTTTAAAACAGTAGTAACAGACACACTGAAAATTATTACATAATAAATAAAATATATATGCCTGAAGCCTTAAGCTTAAAGCATATAGCATGATGATTTGATTTACATGTGTTTTTGAAATGATTACCACACAAAAATTTCAGCTAACATCTCATATGGATATACTAAACAGAAAAGGGAAAAAAAAATCACTGTGATGAACTCTCCTAAGATTTACTAATAACAAATTTCCTTCATATCATAAAGCAACAGTAGCCATTATCATCATATTTACATTTCATCCCTAGTACTTTTTAATTTTATACTGGAAGTACATCTTCTTCCAATTCATCCTCTTCCTAACCTCTATCTCTAGTAAACACAAGTCTGATTTTTTTCTGTGAATTTTGTTGGGTTTTGGTAATGTTTTAGAATAGCATTCACAAATTAGTTTGGGAAATACCGGGGTAAATAAGGTTAATCAAATCTTCTTAAAACATAATTAGCATGCTGATGTTCAGTATGAATCTTCTAGAAGCTTTAAAATAAATAGTTTTCCCTCTTTGGAAATTTCTCAAACTGCTAAAAATGGAGCTTTCATATGACCCACCAATCCCATTCCTAGGTATCTACCCAAAAGACACAAAAAACTTATTCAAAAAGACACCTGAACCCCCATCCTTACTGATTCTTTATTTACAATAGGAAAGACATGGAATCAACAGAAATTCCCAAAAGTAGATGACTGGATTAAAAAGATGTGGTACTTATACACAATGGAATATTACTCAGCAATAAAAACAGATAAGCTCATGCCTTTTGCAACAACATGGATGGAGCTGGAAGGGATCATGCTTAGTGAAATAAGCCAGGAAGAAAAAAGAAATATATGGATGGTTTCACTCATAGTAAAAGCATAAAGGACCAGGGGGGAAAATAATAACATTGAACAACTATATACCAGAGACATTTTATGGGGGTGGTGTGGGGAATGGGATAAAAAATGGGGAAGCCCGCAGGAATTACAACTGAGATGGAAAAAGGCACAAACTGATGTAAAAATAACTATTATATTGTTAAAATATCTATAAAATAAAATAAGTTAAAAAATAGACAATTTTCCAACAATGGAAACATGTTGTCCTTCTGGACATTCACTGACCCCTGATGACATATCAAAGAAAGATGTTTGTGTTACCTGGCAAGGAAAATACATGAGAAGGGAAAGCATAAGAAGTGAGTATTTTCTTCTAGTTATCTTAACTCCCCTCCCCAAGTCCTAGATGGTATCCAGGACACCATGTCCTGCGCCCTCTTCCCCTTCTGAAGTCATTACTCACTTCTTCCAATGGTAGCAAGCACTGTGATGCCCAAACCTTCAGTGTGAGGACTTGGAAATTCTGCTCCCTGAAGTTTAAAGTTTGAATTATGTTTGAAAGAGAAAGAGGATGAACAGAGAGCAAAAATCAGAAACTCTTTAAGGATATGTGTCTGATTACAGTTACAGAGAGGTGATTTGAGAAACTTATGAGGTGGGGCTCACTGTCAGGGTTAACATCTTGAAATGTAATACTGAGTTTTGGGAAATATCTGAGGGCAGTCATTCATTAAAAACAAGATGAGACACTTGAAGATGATGAACAGGTATGGCAAATACACTGAGGGGCAAGGATAGATAAAAGATTAAAGAAATAGACTTAAAATGTAGTTGTAACCATTTATATGAATTACTTTCTGTTTATGCTTAATCTTATTAGGACACAGTGACAATTACTAATGGTAATCAGTGAACTTTTATGAATATTTTATATTCTAATTGATTGGTACAGTAATCCTTATAAATTGGATTTTTGGTCTTTTAGTTTGTTGCTTAGACAGAATAGTCATCTACTAACAGTCTAAATGTGCAGAAGGGAATAGCACATAACTTTAGCAAGTGCATATCTCACTCTTCACAGCACATTTTCATGCTCCATAATACAAACTGGCTCCTCAAAAAAAAATTACTAAGCCAATTTTCATTTAGTTGGTTATTCTGTAGTTCCCTAAAATTGCAGAAATGATTCCTTGCCCCACACAGGAGTCCAGAAAACCTATGTCACACTGGCAAGCATAAGACCGTCACTTTGTATCTTACAATAGAAAGAGAACCGAAAGTCAACTTTGGAAAGAAAATGAGATTGGGTCCACTAGTTGAAAGCCAAATAATTGAAAAATCTGTTTTAACACTTATGTAAAAAAGAACATTTAGATATTAGTTCCCCTTGATTGTATAGCTTAAAGTGTCTTTAACTGTAAGAAATTAATCTAGAGATAAGACTATTAATTTCAAATACAGGATATACCCAGTACAAAAGAATTTAGGACAAAAATATGTCTATTGCCTGTTGTCTTTCTTTTTGTACTTTCCATGATCATAGTGCACATTCTATTAAATCAAAGAAAATCCAAGTGCTGGCTACATTGCTTGATCTAGAAAAGGAAAGGCTGAAAGAGAAAGTTCAACAATGAGCTCAATTACTATGGCAAATTCTACCTTTTGTGAAGATATCATATATTTTTCAATTTATTATTTTTTCTACTGAATGTCAGTACTGAAATTCTAATAAAGTATGAAATCTTAAGGAATAAACTAGGAAAAATGTCAATCTAGTAAAAAAAATACACGTGGAAATGGATCTTGTGATAGAGTGAGACAAAAGCTTAGAGAACTGACTACTGGAAAGAGTGAGAAAGGGGACAACATCAGGAGAGACAGCTGAGCCTGATTGCTAACTGTTCTCTAAAGCTAGAGTAGCCACAGCATATTCAAGCTGAGGTTGGAAATGAATTATAAGGTACATTATTTTCCTCTAATTATGTCCTCCACTTTGAAGTTTTTAAAGGGTAAACCTCAGATAACTTATGTCAATTGGCTCATTTTCATTTATGTAGTCTGCAGTCAATGAAATTGCTTGCAAAAAAAAAAGTTAAATATTATTGCATTAGTTGTTGAAGGAACTATTTTCATATTCAAATTATTTTATCACTTCAAATCTACATTTTATGTAGTACATAGCATGAATTCCTTGAGAGAAATTTAATACTGAAAATTGTTAACTATGAGGAAATTGCTGTGGGAATAAATACTATGTTTTGATTTTCAAAAGATTCACTATCACATATACTTTATGGCCTTTTCAATACTCAAATCTAGAGATGCAAAAGGCATGATAAATGACATCAATTGTTTTAGGTACTGGACTATTATTTCTCAGAACTGAAGTTGAGAACTACAGTCATATTTTCCATTCTCACCTAATAAGAAATTGTTTCCTTTTCTATAAGCAACATTTTTCTATTTTTTTTTTTTGAGTGGCTGTATATCCTTGAAAATGTCTGTGTGAAGATGTCACTAAGCTACAATAAATATGTTTTATTGGTTGATATATATGCCATCAGAGACCAATAAAATACAATCATGTTGAACTTGAAATAGAACCTGTTAAATGATTTTTTTTTAATGCCATAAGATGTTCTCCTCATTTTCAAAACTGAAGGTATTTTGTACGGTTGTCAGGTTTTCCCAAGAAGGAACAGGATAATTCAGTTACAATTTATTGCTATAAAGCAGTCATTTAAATAACACATCCTTGAATTGTTAAAGAGTTAATAAAGCCTGCTGCAGTACACTATATACTTCCCAAGAGTAGCCTAAATACTGGGAAGATCTGACAAGCTGAGCAAGAATATTTAAGCTAAAAACCTATTGTGGACTTACTTTCATTACAATTTAAAATGGCTTGTTTTCATTAGGTAAGTGTGACCATTCTTGAAAGAGTCATTGAGCAGCAGTTGACTTCTCTATATAGACCCTGCCTTCCAAAGTGGAATATTCAGGCTTCATTCTCCATTGAAAAATACTAACAGTGAAATTTCATATGTAAGCAGTAAGTTATCAGGACTACACACAGTGGACCAATTTTAGAAATAACTAATCAAAGCTAATGAATTTCGCATTTGGGTGTGAGAGTGTGGTGGTGAGGTCTAATACGGGCTGCTGATGGACACTCACACTCAATTTCCTGCTTCATTAGAACGTGTCACAGAAGTGAAGACTGATATCTTTGTTACCAGTTTCGGACCCGTCTCAGACCATGACATGGTGAGTGACAATGCATTTTTGGTTTTCTTGGAATATTATCTAACATTTGAAAGACAAACGTCAACTAAGTATTTAGGTAGTACTTGAAACAGCTTGGATATAGCTTATGATTTCTCAGTATAAATACTGCATATTATAATATATATTTCTGTAATAGAAAATAGGCATTCACTTGTTAGACCAGCCTATCTGTTTGTTTATCAACCACTAGAGTCTTTTTCTCCAGCTCTGAAACAATTGCTTTGCCTTTATGATTATGTTCTGTGAGCCAAATTGTACGAGTTATCTTACATTTAAGTTAAGAGGATGTGATGATTTGGTGATTCAATGATTCAGGGTTTCTGAGTAGCCAGCACTGTTACAGAACAGACACAGACATCATCGTCTCTGACTATTTTTGGCTGAAAGGGGGAAGTGAGTATAAAAGCTGAGTGAATATTTAACCAGAATATGACAAATAAATAATCAAAATAAAATACACCAGTGTGAAATGCTCAGCTCACTGTAAGACAGTCATTAAATTATTATCAAGTGGCAATGAAATGAAAACATGCCTGTTATTTACTTTTTTTTGAACCCAAATAAATTAACATGAGCTTCTCTTCTCTTGTAACTGATGGAAACTGGTACTTCCAAAGACAGGTATTAAACATTTCTGAACTTATAATAGCCAAGCTAGTATAATAAGGAAACAATTATAAAGAGGCCATGAAAACACATCATTATGAACATTTCAAAGATAATTGATTGAATATGATTTTTGAAATATCTTTCTCCTGACACTATGTTAACATAAAAGTCCTCCAATTTCACACTTACTCAGCATGATTCAGAAATAAAATTATAGAAAAAAATAGTAACTTAGGCCAGCATTTCCAAAAGTCTGGGGAATTCATAGTGAGCCCACTTGACAGGCTCAAAGATCTGACAGGTCCTAAGATTAAAGAAACCTATTCTACTACATTTAATATAATGTTTTAAATAATACTTGTCCCAAATCCCTTCTTTTCTCCTTCACATTATATCTATTGACACTAAGACTCGTGCTCTGTGAAAGTGACATCAGGGAATGCTGGCTTGAGAGACAATTAGCTATTTTAGGTTGTAAGGCAGCTTATAAAATGTGACAACTCTGCAAATTGTAGTTAGTGGAACATTTTTTGTGACAACAGACAAGCAGGTAAAAATACAGATTTCTGAATGAGAACTCCTGGGTTTTCAATCCCATCCTCTCCATATGTAAAGGTGCATACTTGGGGAAGTTACTAAAGATCTCTCTGACTCAGGTTATTCATATGGACCATGAGAGTAATATAATTTTGTGGTTATCAAAAATAATAAACGAATTAATACATGAAAGTCACTTAAACAATTCTTGGCATATAATAAGCACCCCATTACTATTATGCAAGGGCTGAAAATACATCACAGTTGATATTTCTGGCAACTCACTTTGTCATTCTATTGAGTCTATACACTACTTCATTGAAACATCCTATGATACAATACCTTTTGCTAACTTCATCACTTCTGAACACACGTAAGAAACCTTGTGGTCTTGCCATGTTTGAACTCAGTCTTCCATAAATCTCTTATTTCATACAACTTTTCTAAATAAGAAAGTAGGAAAACTCCCCATCAGGTTTAAGGCCAAATCCAAGCTCTTCTGCCCATTATCTCACATAATCAATACATGATTTTTCCACTTCTCACTTGTTCCCAATATGGGCTAGTTATTATTTGTGCAATTCCTATTTTCTAAGGGGCAAAATCACTTGGGATTAGCAGGACTGACAATAGGGTTCACTGGTTGAATTCTCACTATGCAACCAACAACACCATGACTTTGAGCAAATCCTACCTGTAAGGATGAAAGTCTCTAATAAATTATTATTATTGTAATTCCTTATTCCTATAGATTGTTTTGAATTTTAAATGATATGTAAATAAGTATGAGTAGTAATAAATAACTAATAATTTTTATTAGCACTTTTACCTCTGAACCCTGTATCATGTCATGAATCTTTCATGGAAATTTCTTATATTTTCTACACAGCTGAATCCTGTATTTCCACAAAGGCCCAAATCAAGATGTGTTAAAAATACTATTTTTTGTTATACAAGTGACACATTAACTTTCCCTTTCTGCATTCTCATTACATTTATTGGCTGTAGAATATGGTTTAGCTTTTGTTCTTATATATAGTACATCTTACAGATTTACTTCTTTTATAGAAATGCCTTTTTTTTCCTAAAATGTCACCAAAAATCATAAAGACAGTTTCACAACATTTATTTGGTTACAATAAATGTTGAATTACTACTTATTTGGTGATAGCTTTAGGAATCTTAATTATCGCTAACAAGTTAAGATCTAAGGGACTCAATATCTTACATCTGCATTGTGTATACCATCTACCATCTACCTGCACTGTGAACTTTTTGAGAAGTAATAGAGGAAGCATTACAGAAAATGAAAAATAATCTTAACTAAGAAGTATATTACAGAGAGTGGTTTATATCTATATGTATGTGGGTGCCCAGAAAGTAAACATCAGAATAATTCAGATTAGCACACCCAGTCAACAAGCAGTTTTGGCTCTCTCTGCTGTATGGAAGGTCCACATAAAGCTTCTAGCAAGGAAAACAAAAGAATCTGTTAGTCTAAAGGACCCACATCACCCAAAAAGCTAAAGACTGAGATAGACAATATATTATTTATTCTTCTACATTCACTTATCAAGTTAAATTATTTATCTCTTCTCCCATCTCCAAACAGAAGAGGAAACAGAACATTCAGAAAGTTTACATTGCTAAAGTTCTTTCTCAAGTTCTTTACTCTTCATTAAAACATCAATAGACTGGATGAAGCATTACATACCATTAACAATATTATTCTTCCTCCTCGTCCCCAATCCTAACCATAATAATAATAAAATAAAAATGTCCATTCTTTCTTTCCAGCACCAAGAATAGGACCTCACAAAGAGTAGATTCTTAGAAGGAACTCTAAGGAGCCCATACAAAAATGGGACCATATGTAATCAAAAAGTTTTCTCTTGAAAAATATGTTGGCAAGCTCTTAAGTTGCTGCTTCAGATTAACTGTGGTCAAAGGAATCATGATGCCTTTTTTTGGTCTTAGACTACAGGTTCTACAATTTTTAGTACACCATTAACTTATGGCTATTAAGAATTACTTCTCATATGTGGCTTTGTTTCAAATATCAGATAGAAAGAAGGACAGAGTACCTAAGTTAGTGATGCTCATACTGCCAAAACTCCTGAACCAAATAATATTTGAATTGTTCTGTCAAAGAAGCAAGTTAGCTATAGGTTTACAATTTTGCTGAGTAGTAGAAATTATACCTGAATATCTTGTTTTAGATTAATTACCTAAACCCATATGATGGAAGAATTATGCAAGAAAGAACAATGTGATTGCAAATCAAAATTAGAAGGTAGAATGACAAAGCTATTTTTCAAGACAGGAAATGGTTCATAGTTGTAAGAGTGAGAATAACATATGTAATTAGTAATAATAGCCATAACAACATTTAACATTATTGAATACTTAACATGCTTGGCGTTTTGGGATCATATTTCATTTGTTCTTCATGTCAAACATTTTAGCAGCATATTATTATCCATACCATCTAAAGGAGAAAAGTGACCTAGCTAGCTAAGTGCAGCAACTTGAACCCAGCCTGTCTGTCCCTAAAGACCCCAAAGTTCCCAAGGCAGCTGACTTCATCTGGAATAGAAAATAAAATTAGGACAACTCCTTAAACTTTATTTTAAAAACCATTAATTGGCAATCAAACAGCACATTCCCAGGGCACTAGGTTCTGACAGAAATATCCAGGCAGCACAATCACTGAGTCCTGTTTTCCACAGTGCTGGAAATGTAGTAAGTCAAAGCACACACAGATGGTAATAAAGTGCAGTGGGAACGCTGCAATACAATATTTATTCAGGAACACAACAAATGTTCTGTCCCCATTGTCAGAATAAGATCAAGATTCTCCAAGGACCTACTGTGTTGAACAGGAACACTGGGAGAGCTCTTTCTATTGAGTGGGGGCTGGAACACTTAGCCTAAATGATATCTTGCCCAGAACCTCCTGTTTGCCTAAAATACTCTTCTGTGGAGCCTTCTCTTTTGCTTTCTGTTTTTGCCCTGCTTAGTTGTAATCATCTTTGTTCAAGTTTCTTGTCTTTCATTCCCCACCACATAGATGCATTTTATAAATATGTATTGATAAAATCATAAATAGGAGAGAAATAAAAAAATTCCTAATGTTTATTGAGTTTCCTAATGCACCCTTTTCTCACCGCTAGTTTCCCTACTTTATCGTATAGGGATTGTGACTTAGAGAGTGAGATCGTTACCCATGCAAGTCAGCTGGCAGTCTCTTCAGTTCTAGTTAGCAGATACAGGATTTACACCTGTAGCCATTAAGCTATGGCTCACTCCGCCACTCCCCTTTATTCCAACTTACTGAAAAGGGGCTCTCCCAGCTTATTTAATTGAACAGTGACCATGGGATATGGTCAAGCTCTACAAGTAGCTCCTAGCAGCAAGAAAACAAACGAACACAATGTCTGGGTTCCTCAGAATATAGGCAGCTAAGATATACAGAGAACCTTGATTACAAGTGACTGTAGCATCTAGTATCGCTCAAACTAAAGTAATTCAGTTAGATAGAGAACAGAACTCATGTGGTGATTCTGGAGTGACAGAAATATCATTAGTATTCCTGATTTTATCCACACGCTTCCTCCCCTTTTATTTCCTCATGAAAAATATAATGCTCTGATGCACATCCTTCTCCACGAGTTTTTCTATAACACCTACGTATAAACAGTCTCTTCCCCTGCTGAATTTCAGAAACTTGCCATGTTTCTTGGTGAGTACATCATGGGTCACATACTTAAGTGTCTCTCTTGCAACACTTCCAGACACAGGAAAACCTAATCAATCAAAAGGCAAATTTTTTTGCTACAAAGATACAAAGGTATCATGTTATACTTGATTCTATTTCAATTAGTAGTTAGCATGATGCCTAGTGCATTATAAACTATTCGATAGTAATGTCAAACATCTGATAGAAGGATGAACCCTATTTCAGTCTTTATCCAGTTTTGCTTAAATCCTGGGAAAATAAGGAAGGTTCTTTCAAGTATGAAACACTTAGACACAGACATTACTTATTGCAGGCCTAAAGGCATAAACATGTATAAGATGAAAAAGAAAAAAAAAATTCTCATGCATCAGGGTTTAGGAGATTAAGAATAATGTAGCTGATGTTTTTCAAGATAGTCTTTCCCCCAGTCTGAAGGACACTAAAATTAATGCAGAATGTGGTAATCTTTACTTCAAACCTTTGGGTTCCAAACTGAATATCAGTGTAGCAAGGACAAGGAAGATGAATATAACCCTTTCCAATTTTAGGAGTTGGCAAGTCACATTGCTTGTTTTCAGATTAGCACGTTTGTCTCTGGGTATTGCTGGAAGGAACGCTGAGTTCATTCAAATAAATAGATTCCCTAGCTGTGAATGGTGTTGAGCTGCATACATTTCTCATGTATCTTATACATACTCACACATACACTGCATACCCCACTCTTTTTTTAAAAGTTCCAAATTACTGGTGAGATGGACTCATTCTCAGTCTTCATTGTCTAGCATTTAAAAAGTCTATGTACATAATTTGTGGGGGAAATGGTTTAGTCAAAAGAAGACAGGAGACACTGGAAGGACAGATGATTTGGGATTGAGTGAGGTTTTTAGCAACTATGGGAGGTCTCCTGAAGACATAATGCTTCTAAGTAGAACTGCCAATTTAACATTTTCCTATATGTAGAAATCTCTAACACGACTTCTGCTTTTATTTGTAATATATTCTATTTTGCTGAGTGATGGTGTTTCAGAGATGGGGGTGGGATTATGTATTATTTTCTTTTCACATAACTGAGAAGGTAATTGGGAGAATTTTTTGACCAAAAAAAAATATTTCAGGCATTTAGATATTAAAAAAAAATGATTATGCAAATCGGGGGTTCACCTGACATCAGTATGTACAGTCAGCCACAAGTTCACTTCCAGAAACCTCACCCAGCTCATTTTTGCTTCAAAGGTTGCAAAACGTATGCACTGTCTATGAAGCTATTTACACTGAAAAATACAGCACAGTAAACTTTGCCATTTTCCAATATTTTCTAGGAGTATACAATAGATGTATTTTTCCGTCAAAGCTGGAAGGATGAAAGATTAAAATTTAAAGGGCCCATGACAGTTCTCCGGTTAAATAACCTAATGGCAAGCAAGATCTGGACTCCAGATACCTTCTTTCACAATGGGAAGAAGTCTGTGGCACATAACATGACCATGCCCAACAAACTCCTGCGGATCACAGAGGATGGTACCTTGCTGTACACCATGAGGTAAGGAGACTGCCATTAAGCTTGCTCTGCTTTCTCCTCCCATATAGGCTAGAATGGGGCCAGTGGCCATGCTAAGGTTTCAGTTTTTCTGTTCATGAGAAATAAACTGAAACTATATGCAAATATTAAAATATTAAGTTAAATGATTAGAGAAAATGAAAGAAAATGTTTACTATATATTAAATAATTCAATACAGCACACTATCTCCAACATGTTCTAATTCAATATGAAGAACTTCCTCTTCCTACCATAAATCTCTATATTCCTGCATTCCTGTATTAAATTTCTAATATAAATTTTTAGAAGCCACCTCAAGACATATTTATGTGAAAATATTTCTGAATTTAAAAGGCAAAAAAAAAAAAAAAAAACCCAGACTATAGTTCAAAATTCTTAAAAAAACAAATTCATGGACCCTCCCTGGTGGTGTAGCGGGTTAAAGCACTGCACTGAGAAACTAAAGCCACTTCCGCATGAGTTCGATTCCTGCCTGCCCCGGAGGTGACCACATGGCGCGGCAGACCTCTCCTGGCCCGCCCGCTGCTACCCTCAGCAGTGTACCTTGTCGATCTGCCTGTTCTGCTCCCCATTCTGTCTCTGGTGAAGTCTCTCACCGCCCCTGAGCCTCTGGCCTATACCCCAGTTCTGTATAAATAAATAAATAAATCTTAAAAAAAAAACAAAAAAAACACAAATTCATGTCTATGTTTTTCATGAGTTTTTTTTTTCTTTTTTTAATTGAAGTAGCATTGCATTATAATATTATATAATTTTCAGGAGTGCATCATTAAAATAACATGTGGGGTTGATTGAGTTCACCACTACAATTCTATTCTTCACCTAAGTAAGCACTTAACCCTTCTCTGTCAAAACACTGTTTATGGTTAACACAGCTCACACAGCTGGGTGCCATTCCATTTATTTATATTTAATTTTTAAATATTTATTTATTTATTTGTTTGTTTGTTTGTTTATTTATTTATTTTTATGCACAGAAGAACTGCAGTGTAGGCAAGAGACCAGGGCGTGAGACGATTCAGAGAGAAAGAGTGGGGAGCAACGTAGTAGGTGGATCTACTGAAAAACAATGCTAACTGGAGCAGCAGAATAGACTGGAGAGGTCTGCTGTGCCATATGGGTCAGCTCCTTGGCCTGAATCAAACTCAGGATATCATGATAGAGCTGAACTTTAACCAGGGAAACCACAATTTTTCTTTACATTCATTTTTTTTTTTAAGTTGAGTAACACTGGTTTATATTATATATGATTTAGAGGTATAGGGACAGCTCCTTCAGGTATTGTTTACACACCATTCCTACCACCAAGGTACCCATAATCCTCTACCAGAGGCCCCACCACAGACCATTATGCTCCTTCCCCAATATACGCTACCCTTCTGCTCTCCTTCTGGTAGCCTCAGTTCTACATTCAGATTTCTAGAGTCCATTATTGTTTTGGCTTTATGTGATTCTTTGTTTCTCAGTATTCCACATGCAAGTGACACATTCAGTATTTGTCTTTTACTTCCTGACTTATTTCCCTTCCAGTTCCATCCATAATGTAACACATGGCCAGGGTTTTAATATTTGAGTAGTATTCCATTATAAAATACAATACCTTCCTAACCTACTCATCTCTCTTTATGTGCTAAGTAAACCTTTTCAACTATAAGTATTTACAATATTAATCCAGTTAATATTGGATTCAAGATATAGGTATTTTTATTTTTATTAAATTGTGGGTAATGTATACATTTTTGCTTGATAAACATTTCCTCCATTTTGTGATTACTGGAATCCCTGCATCTAGATAACAATAACTTGTAGTTGAATGAAGCATTTACAAATCAAGGTTTTGAGTATTTTTATAGGAATAGATGTTTTAAAATATTCATAATTTATAAGAATTGACCAGGATGTACTCTCAAGGGAAATTGTTCACAGCCATAACACTTTTTACACTTTTTAGAACTTTCTCTGTGTGTGTGTGTGTTGGTAGCTCTGGCTAGCATTAAGGCCATCTATGTATTCTTTTGGAATGAAAGTCAAAATCTGTCCCTCCCTGGTGGCGCAACACCACAGCACTGCAAGCTGGCCGCAGCTGCTTCAGTGTGTGTTTGATCCTGGCCCAGGAGGTGATCCACATGGCATGGCAGATCTCTCCTGATCTGTCTATTGCTCCCCAAAGTGTACTTTGTCAATCTGCCTATTCTCTCCCCACTCTGACTCTGGTGAATCCTTTTACAACCCCTGCACCTTTGGAACCCAATTTCTGTATGCTTAAAAAAAAAAAAAGGCAAATTCCTCAATTTGGTGAGTTGTGTTTAGTATGGGAATGAAATTGACATTTTTCCTTTAAAGAAAGCTGTAAGAACACCTACTGCCCCCTTATACACAAGTATACAAATGAGAAATAAAGAAAAAGTGATGCTAGAGTCATTTTCGCTAGTGCGTCCAATAGAAAAACTTTAGTAGGATTTAAAGAATCAAAAAGGAGGAAAAGAAAGCAGAGATTCTAGATAGAGTTGTGTTGAGACCTTTCCAGGTAATCTAAAAAAAAGGTCTATTTATATTTAAAAATCAAAATAGTTTCTCCCTTGTAAAACACTCTACACATGTTTTGTTGCCTAAATCCACAATGCATTCCTCCCAGGTGACAGTCTTCTGGAGAGGGATTTACATATACTGAAGAGTTTACCGATTAATAATCTCATATATAATCTCTATCTACACATTTGACATATCCTAAATTACTCATCACATTTACTGATTTGTTACAGTTTTCTTAATAGTTTGACATAAAAATGCAAGTTTAATCCTGAATTTATACACTTCACACTTGCTTCCTCTAGTTTGTTTTTACTGGCTATAAAGCCCATCCCTTCCATATCACAAGTTCCTTGAGAATAGAGCATATATATATTTTCTAAAAACTATGACAGACCTGTGTCTAAATTTACTCATAATTCTACCAAATGAGATCAAATGTTTGTCATTGAATTCCTTTCTTAACTCAGTTTTTTTAAAAAACATAAATACAACTCACATTTCCATAAGGACTAAAGAGAAACATGACAATAGTTCTGACTTAGGCAAACTAAATGGTTGAAAATACACATGACCCCTCAGAGATTTTACCTTAATCTCATTCTCACAACCCTCATTCTCACAGTCCTCCTCCACAGATTGTTTCCTTGTTTTATACATTTCTCACTATTTTAGAGAAGGAGGCAGAGAGAACTGAATATAGGAGCGTGAACTTCACTTTTCTTCTCTTGCTCATTTTTCTCAACCAAGAATGAATTACCACTTATACAAGTATTTATGTAATTAACATCAAGTTTTATTCTGAAATGATTAGCTGTAGCTATATACATTAGTTGGTGGGGTTTTTCTTTGGAAACATTAGCAATACTGCCCATAATTTTAAATAAGGAGTAACCTATTTTCTCAAAACCAACCAACCAGCAATAGAATCCAGTCACTGCTGAAAGGAATTCTTTTTAGATTGTTAACAGCTGAATGCAATGCTGCAGTCTGTGCCTATCTCCCCTGCTTCCTTATTATAATTGCTACAGTTAATGACAATTGAAGTACCTAATCTGTAGGGGTCTTGTTTGTATCCTTCCCTTAATTGCCAAGGCTGACGGTGAGAGCTGAATGCCCAATGCATTTGGAGGATTTCCCTATGGATGCCCATGCGTGCCCACTAAAATTTGGAAGCTGTGAGTAAATTAATTTTATTTTTCTTTATTCTTATGAGACCTAAAATTTAAGTAGGAGACCTCCAATTATTTATGACTGTTAGAATGATGAATAAAGAACTCTCAAAAAAGTTTAAAGAGCAATTTACCGTAATCGTCTTTGACTTCATTTTTGGTATTATTTCAGGAAGAGCTTATTCTCTACCTACTGGACTAGAAGGCATGGCTATAACTATATTGTGGGAAAGTACTGGGCTAGAAGGCATGGCTATAACTATATTGTGAGAAAATTCTGTTTGTTGAAGTTGTATTCACACAAATAATGAGTGAAGTATGGATACTTATACCTGACAGATATCTTACTTTCAAAAAAAAGAGATAAATGTGTTTATTTTACATAACTACTGACATTTGTTTCACCTCAGGGATTATTTATAATATTATAATAATTCCATGTTATTTATAATATGGAAATACTGGTAGGTGACAAAGGACAATAATTAGGTGTTCCTTAATAGTGCTCACACCTACGGGTGTAGCCAAAAATTCAGTCTAGTCACAGTATATACCATGGAATTCACGTGTGTACTAACAGTTTTAAAGATATCTTAGCTAACCCCCCTAGTAAGAACTATCTTTGTACTCTTTGAAAATAAACTGCTCACCTTAGAGGAGCCATGAGAACAGCAACTCTGAAACCAGCCCGGCTGGTTTTGAAGCTAAGCTTGCAGAAAGCAAGTGGGGATAATATATTCCTGGTTTCCTGCTGGGGAGTGATGTACAAAGACTGAGTCAACTTCTGGAACACCTAACTAGCTTTCTGCTCCCACTAGACAGGCAGTCTAAGCAACTATTTTGGTGAAGATATGAATCATAGAAGAAAAATAGTGGTAGTGTAGGAAGACAGCAAGCAAAGAAAATAGCAAAGAGCTTTTGGGCTCCTAACTGCACCAGTCATGGGGAAGCATCTTCCCCTATTTATAAATCTCATTCTACACTGAAACCCGTGGATGAACTCCCTCAAACACTGCTAGCTACACAGTTCTTTGGTGATTAACTCCCTCCTCCCCATTCTTTTCCCAACTTAATGAATTGAATGTTCTATCTCATGGACTCTCACCAGCCCATTTGATCAATATTTTGCATTATATGTTACTTATACATTAGGCAGTATACAAGATATTTGTAAATGCATCAACTCATCTAATCCACAGAACCACCTATAGTTGGTAAGATCATGCATCCCAGTTTGCCTGGGACAGATTTATGTCTAATGTGCTTGTGTAACTATTAGAATAGTGCCCCCTTTGGCCTTCAAAAATAACCTTATTTGGACAATGAATTAAAAGGTTAGTATATTTGTTAGTAATGCAGTGAATAAAGCTGAAAGGGGGAAAAAAAACAACAGGGGTTTATATTTTCACATAATGGAAAGGTAAGTGATTCTTTGACTCTTGGTTGATTGCTGGTTAGTTAGGCATCTTGATGAGGATATTTTGAGATGCCCTTAGATGTTCTCCTTGTTCAAAGAATGGCTATTGCAACACTAGCCATTGCATCTATCTTCTAGGATAAAAAGAAATATGGGAAAAGAAGAAAGGAGTAGCACCTGTATATACATGTCTCCTAAAAATTCTAACATATATCTACTCACATCTCATTAGTCAAACATGTGTCATACTGCCAATGCTAAATGCCAAACAAGTCTTGGAAGAAATAGTTTTGTGTACATTCTACCTGAATAAAATTGGAGGTATTCTGGGAAAGAGGAAATGGATAGTTAGTAGAACATAAATATTGTGTCATTCAAGAAAGTTAAAGTTAGAGAAAAATAAATCAGTATTTTTCTAACCCAGAGCCTATACATGTGCTCTTTTCTCTGACTGGATTACCCTTCCTTTGGTTTTTTGTGTCTGTCTGTCTATCTTGTCTGTCTATCTATCTACTTACCTTTACTTTTCAAATGAAGTACCATTATTGTAATGCTTGTTAACTTTTTCACATATAAGATTTCTTCACCAGGTGTAATCACTATTGTTTCCCAAAGCATCCATAGTCTTCCCCCAAGACCTCTGTGTTCTCCCTCCCCCTTTCATTCCCCTTCCTCCCTCTCCAGCACCGCCCCCATTACTACTCCACCACCACATGCCTTAGATCTGTGATCACCTTTCAAGGGTTGTTTTTAAAATTTGTCTTTGTCTAATCCTTTGTTTGATATCTCAACATAAAGTGGAATCATCTAATATTTATCTTTCTCCTTCTGGTTTCTTTCTGGTTTGCTTGTTCTCCTTCCAGCTTCTTTTAATTCTTACCATGCCTGCTTCTTTCTCTGTCCACATCTCAGTATAAATGGCCCTGAAGGCTTCTTTGATGGCATCTGAATTTGCATATAGGCCTACCAGTGTTCTTGATCAAAAGATGCATTTCTTTTATACCATCTATCATAGCAAAATTTATTTAATTTACTTCTTTTTAATATTTTTATTGTCTGGAGACTGTGAAGCCCATGGAAGCAGTCTATTTTGTTTGTCACTTCCTACCACAGGACCTAATATGATGTAGGTACTAGTAAATGGGTGTTGAGTATTGAATGATTACAAACATCAGCTCTTAATACCTTTTCAAGTATTTTACATCTCAGAAATTTTAAGATTCAGAAAAAAATGTTCTCAATTATGGTTCATGATCTGTGAGGAGTTAGAAAGGAAGACTTGGCATTGAATGGGAGGCACAGAAAGAACACCAATCTAGTTACCATTGCCTGCTGTTGGCATGAGAAGAGGCAGCGATGTTTCATTTGTTGTAAAGTCACTTTTCTGATCCGACCTAATTAGCGCATTTCAAAGATGAAGAATCTAAGTTACAACTGGGCAAAAATGTTTTGACCCAGTTTTTGAATCTTGCCAAAATACCATAGAAGAGAATAAGCAAGAGATAAGAAGATTTTCCAGTAATTTTGTAGATACTATGTAATAAATGTTTATGAAGACTCTGAAGCAACCCTACCCATATGTTGACAAGAATTAAACTCAGAAAAGCAGATGTTTTCCTTAACATTCTCCATTAGATTCTTATTGTCAGGACTAAATTACACATTCTGCTTGTTAGGAATTAAGATTCTCCATAAGGCCAAATAACCTGGAGACAATACGCATGATGCAGCTGATGTCATTCAACTACTTTTTAAAGGAAAATATAAAATATGTCCTAAGAGATTTAGATTATATTCTTTTGTTTTGAGGAAAAAATTCTGTTATTTTAATATGTTATACTCATTTTTTTCTTATTTTTAATTCTATGTATATTTTATATCATTCTCCCTTTTTGTACAATGTATGCTTTCTCTTCTTACATGTAGAACCCATATAATTCTCACCACAGATTCACCTGTCAAATATCACCACTGTCCTCTGTGTTCTTCCCTCCCCTGTTTTGATCCCTCTCCCTCCCTGTCCCCTGCGGGGTTTCTGATTTATAGTTGCCTTTTTGTTTTTTAATTTATTATTTTTTACTGATCCCTAAAACCATCTGATACTTTTCCTTTTCTTTCTGGCTTATTTCACTGAGCATAATCCCTTCCAGCTCCAACAATGTTGCTGAGAATAGTATGGACTTTAAAATTTTTATTGCTGAGTAATATAGAAACTTAGATAATATTCTGACAGTAAGATCAGAGAAAGCACTAGATCTAGTAAGCACTTAACAAATGATCATTTCCTGACTATAATAGCATAGAAGTTTACAAATAAGGAGAGAGGGATGAGTAGAAATTATGAAGAGTAACTAACTTTAAAAATTATTTAGTGTACTAGCTCCATACAAATGGGAAAACAAAGGACCAGACAAGTGAAGCAACAGTGACAATAGCAACTTCTCTTCTGACATCAAGTCTATATCCCCATATCGTACCACATTGGCACTTTGCCCAACCAAAACCTCTGTCTTATTTCTTAAAACTTTTTCTTAGTTAATCTGCTAATTTATTTGAAATATCACATTTTTTACTATGTAGTTGAAGACTCTTTTTAACTGTCTTTTCTTTATCCTGAAGAGTCTCAAATCAAGGAAGGTTTCATAAGACCTGCTCTCCAGAGACAGAGATCAGGATCAGTGTACTATCTCACCTATTACACGCCATAGGTTGCTGTTCTCTACACTGTAGAACATCAGCTTCATCCTGTGAACTTACTCTTCACTTCACAATACATTCATTGAGAATAATGAACAATTGATAACCTCCACTTTCACAACAATGTCATGAGATTTTGTATGGGACTTCTAAGACATTGCAGGAAAGGAAACATCAACCTTATAGGAAATAGGAAGTTGACAGTGACACTTTCTTCCCCTCTACAGCTACATCAGCAGCCCATTTAGCATTGGTGTGGAAAGATCAGATCCAGGCACTGTTTTAATCACACTATGATACAGTGATAAAAATTCAGTTTCTTATGAAATTATAGGTCTAGAACTGACTTCATCTCTAATTGTATGGCCACCAAGTATCTCTGCTTGGCTTCTGGCCTAGTAATGTAATGGACTTACCTAGAAAATCCTCCCTAATACCAGTGGAGTAGAATTAATGGTACTCTAGGTTCTACTTGTTTTTCCCACACAGAAGCTAGGCACCCTTACATAAGTCATTTAGTGTCTTTTATCTCATTTTACTTTATGTAAAATGTAAAACCTGTGATCTCTGAATTCCTTCCCAAGATGAAAATTTTATTATTCTATGTTTCCATAAACTTGAGATGTCTTGTTGGATCAAACCCATCCATTTAAAAAATAAGAATTTATCCTGAGAAAAAAAATCTCAGTGAGCACAGGTATCTGAAAATCAAAGCAATATGGCTTTACTCAAGTACATTAAAAACTTGATTTTTCAAAATCAAGTTTAAAAACCTCACAACAAATGCAATGCTTCTAGAATGTGCAACATTGATTTACTTTTTAGTCAAAGACACATTAACTCAATGGGAAGCAACTTTTCACATATGTATATATAGCATCCCCTATGGTATACACTTTCAATGTCTTACATATTTTCCAATTATAACTCAATAAATAAGTAAAGACTAGTACTGTGAACAAAGGTGAACAAGGACAACCACAGTTACAAAAAAGGAAAAGTCCATGATGACAAATCCCCAATTGTCTGTCAGTCTTGCAAGTTTCCTGAAATAAGCAATAATGACTAAATTAATTCAGTGTAGTTTAACTTCTGAAAGTCTGCTTAAAAAGATATATGATTGTAAATTTGTCCAAAAGAAAGATATTGGAGCTAACAGGATATCCATGTAATCATCAGTAATACTACATTTTTCTGCATCACTCACCAAGAGGAAAATGGCATTTAAAGAAGCTTTGGTTTAGAAAATGAGAGCAAGGCTTGCAGCCTGTTTTGGGTTTTCTGTTTATGTGCATGGAAGAAGGCATCCATCACTTTATGCCAAGTACTTCAGCTTGGACCACTAAGCACTGAACACTCAGCCTGGATATCTTGGGTCAAAGAGTTCAAGAAAGGATCCATTGTGATTTTCATGGGTCCTTTAATCTTTGCCTTAGAGAACAATTTTCAAAAAATACATTGGCATTATTTTAAATTTTATGACTGTAAAGATGAACATAATCCTGCTTGTATTATATTATATATGATTTTTTTCTTCTACTTTTAAAGTATTTAAAATGTTTGTAGACTCATAAAAGTACTGTGAACCTGAAGCCCTGTTTCTAGTGAAGCTGGTCAAGGAATAGTGCTTTCATAGGGGGCCATCTTTGCTAGCATATATTCCTCTCAAAAACCTTAGAAGCAATTTGCTTTTGTTAATGTGACAGCCTTTGAATTATTAATCTAGACATATGAAAGTATTTTCACCATTTTAACCTCTATGAAGTGAATGTTCTGTGACCAGAAATAGAAAGGCTATGGAATTCTTTTTGTTCCTTCTCTCTTACTCTTTATGCCTCCATCCTCAACCTATGTGACTGAAAGATTATAATTATGATCTAACCCGTCATATAGGAAAATGGTTAGATTAAAAACTGGCATGGAAAATGAAAATTATTGATAAGTGTGAAGATCTATTTGGTGTAACTTCTCCACCTCCTTATCATTATTATAAACATTTTGATACAAAAGGTAATAGAAAAAGAAGTAAAATCAGACTTCCTTTAAAAATGAGTTTCAGCCATAAAATAACTGGAAGCAAAGATGGGTCAAACACTACATGACATACACTTCAGCGACATCTTTAAAGACAGCACCCAATGCCACAATACTGAAGGCAAGGATAAATAGATGGCACTACATCAAGTTAAAGAGCTTCTGTACAGCAAAAGAGACATTACAAAAAAACAGACAGCCCATTAATTGGGAAAACATTTTCTCACACAAAAGTAGTGATAAAAGACTGATCACAAAAATATACGGAGAACTGATGAAACACAACAAAAATAAACAACCCCATCAAAAAATGGGCAGAAGAGCTAAAAAGACACTTCTCCAAAGAGGAAATGCAGATGGCCAACAAGCATATGAAAAATGTCCAACATCACTCATAATAAGGGAGATGCAAATTAAAACCACAATGAGATACCACCTCACACCAGTGAGAATGGCACATCTTCAAACAACTAGCAACAAGGAACTCTCCTGCACTGCTGGTGGCAATGCAAACTAATACAACCACTATGGAAAACTGTTTGGAGGTTCCTCAAACTGCTAAACATGGAGCTTCCCTACGACCCAGCAATCCCACTCCTAGGCATCTACCCAAAAGACACAAAAACACTGATTGAAAAAGATACCTGCACCCCCATGTTTATTGCTGCTTTATTTACAATTGGAAAAACATGGACGCAGCCCAAATGCCCAAAAGTAGATGAGTGGATTGACAAGATGTGGTACATATATACAATGGAATATTACTCAGCAACCAAAAAACAGAAACACATTTCTTTTGCAGCAACTTGGATGGAGCTGAAAAGATCATGCTTAGTGAGATAAGCCAGAAAGAGAAAGAAAAATACCGGATGGTTTCACTCATAGCGGTAGTATAATGGACCAGGCGAGAAAATAACAAAAATAATGAACAACCATATACCAGAGACATTTGGGGAATGGGATCAAAAATGGGGGGGTGGGGAGGGAAATGCACAGGATTATGGTGATGGCACATGGGTGACTTGGTGATGGGAAACCCGCGGGGATTACAATTGAGATGGAAAAAAAAATGTACAAAATGATATAAAATAAAACGCTATAAATGTAAAAAAAAAAAGGTAAAGCAGGATCCATAAATAAAATTTTAAATTTTCCTTTAAAAAAAAAAGTTTCAGTAAAAATTCCACTGTTACTTTTTTACATTTCTCATCCTTTCTCGCTCCACATAATCTGAAGTCAGGCTACTGTCTCTACCCTCATTTCATCACTCATGTATTTCTGTTTTGTCACACCAGTCTTCCTGTTCTTCCTCAAACATCTGAAGTCTTTGCCAGCCCTAGATGAACAAAACTCCTCCCAAGACTTCCAGATAGCTCCTTTCTCCCTCATTTTTCTCATGTAGTTATATAAATGTCACCTCTTCAGTGACCCCCTTACCTGTTGCATGTAACTTGAATACACTTAAAACTACTTGAAATTATGTATTTCTTTGCTAATGTGTTTTATACTCACAACTGCAATGCACGTTCCACAGGATCAGATAGTCTTATTTGTTATGTTCATTGCTGTATTCTCAGCAAGGTACTTTGTCCTTTGTAATGTAAAGCACACAGATACCTGAATGAATAAGGGAAATTTGTTTTAGTTTTATTAAGCTAAGGAATATGGGCTCTTGTTTCCTAGCCTGCCAACTGGAACCACATGGTAGAAAATACATGAAGCTGGTAGAATACGCCAACTAATTAGGAGATACATGACAGGACACATGGACCATTTTCCATTCTTTCCTTTTAGATGCTTATACAAGAGCAGAAGTTGTGTATGAGTGGACCAGAGAACCAGCACGTTCAGTGGTTGTAGCAGAAGATGGGTCACGTCTAAACCAGTATGATCTTCTTGGACAAACAGTAGATTCTGGAATTGTTCAGTCTAGTACAGGTAAGTGTTATTTGATTACTCCAGATACAGAGGAAATTACATAGTTTTTGTTGACAATTATGTGTGAGGCCTTCAATAACTGTGTGTGAGAGAGGGGAGAAAGTGGGTCAATAAACTGGGAAACAGTTGAACTGAGACTACCATAAATTCTAAAGAGCTGTGACCGTGACCTTATCTTTTCATGTCTGCTGACCATTGTTTTGTTGAATTGGTTCTATGTGACCAGTGTGTAAGAGCATTTAAATATATGAACTCTTAGGGAAGAGTGTTCCGTTAAATCTGTATTCTTTTACTTTGCCAGTTGATTATAGTAACCTCACAGGGTTGCTGGAAAGAATAAATTAAATCCATGAAAAGTACTTGTCACAGTTCCTGGCACATAAAACGCTCTTAATAAATGTTAGCTATTAATATCATCTAAGCTCCGTTTACTGTCACGATTCAATGAATCTTGGTGAATTTGTAGCAGTGAATATTATGCATAGGATGCCAGAAAGCAAATTCCTTCTACAAATCCATTCATATCTTCAGGATTTCCACAGCTAAAATCTACAGAAACAGAATCGCACTGCTGATCACTTCACTTTGGGATTTAAAAAAGGTGCTTTGCCATCCTTCTTACTGATTAGCTCTTTTTTCCAACAAATACTCAGAACTAGATCAGACACTATTAAATGGTTAGTTCCAAATTTTAAATGTGTGAAGTTGTTCTAAGAAAAAGTAAGAGTTTAGTTACACGAGTACCCATTTTTTATTATCTAATGAAATGTGACTTAAGGCTAGAATATCAATTTATCATCTCAATTACATTTAATGAATTAAAGACCAACACCAACTTCTGTGGATATCTTTAATATTTTAAATTAATTACCTACTTTCATTTCTAAAGAAATACAAGTAAGTAAAAATGATGGCACCAGTGCTCTTTTCTCAGAAAAAAAGAATTTTTTTTTCCTTTATCTGAGACTTTGTAGTGGGACCATGACCATTATATAACAGCATCTTTTTTTTTTTTTTTTTAACTTAAAGAATCCATGGCTACCTTAGAAGTCCAAATACTTATGTTTTTTCTTTTGTAAAATGGAGAATATTTTTCCTTGGCTTTATCTATATTTTAAATGCACCTGACACAATGAAAAGGTCTTAGATTTTGCAGATGTGGATTCAAGACCTGTCCTGATGATAAGAAGCCTAGTGACTTTGGGAAAGTCATTTACACAATTAGACACTCTAATTTCTTCCCAAAATTGGTATTGTATAATTTTGCATTAGGATGAGATAAAATAAAACATCAAGTAGAATGTTATATAATAGATTCTCAAAATGATAATAATAGTTGTTACTATAGTTCTACAAACACTCCAGAACACACAGAATAGTTAAAAATTTCCTTCCTCATAATTTAGGTTGGAAAAGATACTAAACTGAGCATTGTTTACTTTTTAAAATTGAATACTATTATAAACTGGATATTGTAGCAGGCACTAGGTATATAATGATAGACAAGGAAGAGATCTTGCTCACAAGGAATTTGAGTCTAAGGGAAGACAAACACATAAACTATAATTATCAAAATGGGTGGTAAGTACTGCGATTAGCATTTTTGTGAGGGCAAGAACCATGTCTGTCTTGTTTGCCTATTATTTACTATTGGGGCTGAAACAGAGGATGCACTGAGTAAATATTTTGAATTAATGAATAACAAATGAATCCAGTCTAGGATAACTAAGGAAGGATTGCTGAAGGGATTGCACTGGCTTATCCATATCAGTTTGGAGTCAAGTATTCATTATAGACACAGGACTTTCAGAATAATGGACAAGAAACTTTTCCTCCAGAAATTCTCCTTTCATGATTATTAGAATGCAGGTTGTAAGATAGAAGGGAAGTAGTCCTTCCAGGGCAGAAGCCTCCATGTCACAGTAGAAGTATGCAATATAAAGTCATGAAGGGTGCTTGGAAGGAGTGTCTGCATTCTAGTTCTAGCATTACTGACCTCAATATGTCATTGAATCCCTTTTTGTACCCCAGTATCCAAGTCTTAGACTAATGGCCTTGGAGACCTCTCTTATCTTCCTAATGATTCAGCCAACTTACATGCTAGTTCTCAGAAAAGATATAGTCATAAAAGGCATCAATGAAGCAGTGGCCCATCCTACACCATCAAACCGGCTGTTAACTCCTAAGTTGGATCTGTTAAAAGCTGTCATTCTGTGTAGAGAGGCAAGTTCATCTATACAAAATAAAAACGTTTTCTAATCATTTCCACAACAGATGTGGGGGGAGGGACGCCGTAACAAAGGAGAACAATGAGCAAATTTTCAAATGGTGAGAGCTCAGTTTTATATATGTTCTCAGCTCCACAATGAGACACTGAACTACACTTCCTCTGGGTCTATTTTAGTTCATCAAAATCCACCTCAATAGATTTCCGTGGGAAGAAACAGATCTTTTGTAAGGTATATTTCATATCTCTGTGTGGAGCCCTGAAAACATTAAGATAAATGACAGAGAGTGCTATTACCTTCCTGTTTCTGCCAGAAGACTAGGAATGGTGGCAGGAAGGAGCACACACATAGACAATGATTAGATAAAAAGCTTCTTCTTCCATCTTAAAATTCTTTGTGGGGAGCAAATCAATTCAAATCACATCTGAGATGGTTAGAATTGCCCCACGTGATTGCAACACCTGGAAACACACACTCACATATTTAGCAGTGTCCTCTTAAAGGTCAAAATGCTTCCAGGTTGCCTAAGTAAAATAATAAGGAAAGTATGAAGGGCCACACAATATACCCGGTTTAGAAAATTCAGTGTAAACATATAAGGGGCACTTTTTTTTTTTTTTGGAGCCTACTGTCAGATTTGGGGAAGAAAAAGAATTGGGGACTAGCTTAAGTACACTTTCACCTGGTAGAACAAAACATTTATAGGAATGTAGAGGGATGAGTGCAACGTGTCATCCAACTCTCCATTATTCATTCATTTACTCTCTTATTCCTTCAGTGATTTACTCATTTACCAACTTCAACAATACAGTTAAATCTGGAGGAATATTATGAAGGACACACTGTCTCTGCCCTAAAGTAGTTCATTATTGACAGTAGACACCAAGTATTGGCACTGTTCTAATCCTCACACCAACCCTAGGTTGTAATACTGTTCTATTATTATTACTATCTCATTTAAATGGCACATAGTTGAGAGGCAGAGAGGTTTAACAATTTTTCTAAGGTCACACAGCTGGACAGTGGCAGAGATGGAATTTGAAGGTGGTAGCCTAGCCTCAGAATACATGCTCTCAACCACTTTACACTAGTAAAAGTCAATAGCGCCATGTGTGAAATGCAACAGTGTGCTACAGCAAGGAGTTTAAGAGTGTGCTTTCTGCAGTTAATCTGCTAGGATTGGAATGCTACTTAATCACTAATTAACTGTGTGACCTTTGGCAAGATATTTCTTATTCATCTTTTCTCATGCACTACTAAGTTAATAAGAGAATCTACTTCATGAACACTGTAAGATTAATGAAAAAAAGTGCATGTTAACTGCTTAGCAGAGTAACTGGCACAGAAAAATGTTCAATATATATTAGATATTACTGCTGCTACTGCTACTACTACTACTACTACTACCTTCTACTACTACTACCTTCTACTACTACTATTACTACTGATATTGTGAGTATAAGAGAGCAAGTTGATAGCATAATTTTGAGGCCATTTCTGCTTGGAGTACTAAGGAAGGCAGTTTGGAACTAGTCTTCAGGCATGGTCTCTTTTCTCTCCCTAATATACTTCATTATACTGCCCAAGTAATTTCTTTAAGGAAAGACCATGGAAAAGTCTCTAACGGATATGAAAATTTGACTTACATGAAGAAATAAAATAATGAATTAGTCATTCGATATCAGTTGTAATCCCATGGGCTTCCCATCACCAAATCACCCATGTGCCATCACCACAGTCCATGAACTTTCCTCCCCCCACTGTTTTTGATCCCATTCCCCACTCCACCCCCATAAAAAAGTCTCTGCTACCTATTTGTTCATTATTATTATTTTATCCCCTGGTCCTTTATATTCCTGCTATAAGTGAAATCTCCAGTATCTTTCCTTTTCTTTCTGGCTTATTTCGCTAAGCATTATCTTTTCCAGCTCCAGCTGCTGCAAAAGGCATGTGTTTTTTGGCTTGCTGAGTAATATTCCATTGTGTATATGTACCACATCTTTTAAATCCAGTTACCCACTTTTGGGCATTTGGGTTGTTTCCATGTCTTTCCAATTGTAAATAAATCAACAATAAACATGGGGGTGCAGGTTGAATCCGTGTTTTTGTGTCTTTTGGGTAGATGCCTAGGAGTGGGATTGCTGGGTCATATGGAAGCTCCATTTTTCGCAATTTGAGAAACCTCCAAACAGTTTTCCATAATGGTTGTACTAGTTTGCATTCCCACCAGCAGTGCAGGAGAGTTCCTTTTTCTCCACATCCTCGCCAACATTTGTTGTTGCTAGTTGTCTGAAGATGTGCCATTCTCACTGGTGTGAGGTGGTATCTCATTGTGGTTTTAATTTGCATCTCTCTTCTTAAAGTGATGTTGGACATTTTTTCATATGCTTGTTGGCCATCTGCATTTCCTCTTTGGAGAATTGTCTTTGTAGTTCTTGTGACCTTTTTTTTGATGGAGTTGTTTATTTTTGTTGAGTTTCAACAGTTCTTTGTGTATCATTGTGATCAATCCTTTATCACTAGTTTTGTGTGAGAATTTTTTTCCCATTCAGCTGGATGTGAGTGACTATTATTTAAGCTTAGTACGAATGACCAAGAGAAATCATGGGGTCTTTTTCCCTAAAGACTGTCTTCTCTGGATGGGTTAATTTAAGGAGGAACCCGCAGGGTCAGAATGAATGAGGAAAGTGGCTATCTTGCTATCAGGGAACTGGCTTTCACCAGAGGACACTGGTCCTCCCTGCTTACAACCTGGTACAGGTCTCTAAAGCA